TACGTCTATCTTCTGTCCGTACTCCCACCTCTGATGCTTGCCTTCAAGACTTTTCCAGGGCTGCACCGTTCCTGTGGAACTCGCTTCCCTCCTCCGTTAGATGCTCACCCAGTCTCCACTCCTTTAAAAAATCTTTAAAAACCCACTTCTTCATAAAAGCGTATCAATTAAACTGTTAATAGCTCCTGAATGATTCCTCTTCTGCAACTGTCACTAGTCTAATACTATCATTACCTTTTGTGTCATTTTACCCCACTCCCTGTAGCATGTAAGCTCATTGAGCAGGGCCCTCAACCCCTCTGTTACTGTGTCACTATACCCCACTCCCTCTAACATGTAAACTCACTGAGCAGGCCCTCAATCCCTCTGTTACTGTGTCACTATACCCCACTCCCTCTAACATGTAAACTCACTGAGCAGGGCCCTCAATCCCCTGTTACTGTGTCACTATACCCCACTCCCTCTAACATGTAAACTCACTGAGCAGGCCCTCAATCCCTCTGTTACTGTGTCACTATACCCCACTCCCTCTAACATGTAAACTCACTGAGCAGGGCCTCAATCCCTCTGTTACTGTGTCACTATACCCCACTCCCTCTAACATGTAAACTCACTGAGCAGGGCCTCAATCCCTCTGTTACTGTGTCACTATACCCCGCTCCCTCTAACATGTAAACTCACTGAGCAGGGCCCTCAATCCCTCTATTACTGTGTCACTATACCCCACTCCGTCTAACATGTAAACTCACTGAGCAGGGCCCTCAATCCCTCTGTTACTGTCACTATACCCCACTCCCTCTAACATGTAAGCTCACTGAGCAGGGCCCTCAATCCCTCTGTTACTGTGTTACTATACCCCACTCCCTCTAACATGTAAACTCACTGAGCAGGGCCTCAATCCCTCTGTTACTGTGTCACTATACCCCACTCCCTCTAACATGTAACCTCACTGAGCAGGGCCTCAATCCCTCTGTTACTGTGTCACTATACCCCATTCCCTCTAACATGTAAACTCACTGAGCAGGGTCTCAATCCCTCTGTTACCGTGTCACTATACCCCACTCCCTCTAACATGTAAACTCACTGAGCAGGGCCCTCAATCCCTCTGTTACTGTGTCCCACTGCCACACACACTCCCCTCCCCTACCCCACTCCCTCTAACATGTAAACTCACTGAGCAGGCCCTCAATCCCTCTGTTACTGTGTCACTATACCCCACTCCCTCTAACATGTAAACTCACTGAGCAGGGTCTCAATCCCTCTGTTACTGTGTCACTATACCCCACTCCCTCTAACATGTAAGCTCACTGAGCAGGCCCTCAATCCCTCTGTTACTGTGTCCCTATACCCCACTCCATCTAACATGTAAGCTCACTGAGCAGGCCCTCAATCCCTCTGTTACTGTGTCACTATACCCCACTCCCTCTAACATGTAAACTCACTGAGCAGGGCCCTCAATCCCTCTGTTACTGTGTCACTATACCCCACTCCCTCTAACATGTAAACTCACTGAGCAGGCCCTCAATCCCTCTGTTACTGTCACTATACCCCACTCCCTCTAACATTTAAACTCACTGAGCAGGGCCCTCAACCCCTCTGTTCCTGAGTGTCCAACTTGTCTGGTTACAATTATATGTTTGTTCATCCACCCACTGTAAAGCGCTACAGAATTTATTGGTGCTATATAAACATAATAATAACGTAAATAATTAGGTAAAATATTATTTGAAATAGATCGTCCAATTCAGCATCCCTCTTCCTCAGCTACTTTGGCATAACATTTCGTAATTCTATATCAGTTTTCTAAGGTTCCTGTTTAGTGAATAAATGACCTTATTTAATTAATTAGAGAGCTCCTTTCTGATTGGTCGTCTGCACATTTACAGTGAGCTGCACCTTTAATTCAGCTACGCTCCTGTAGGCCAGTGCTTCTCGGAGAATGTCAAAGACATTAAAATGCAAACAAATAAACATTCTTTATTTTTCTACAGTTCTATTATGGTGACAAGAAAAGGTGTCAAAATCATTCGTATAATAAAAATATATGATTGTATTGGTAAAGGATATCATTTTAAGTTACGAACCAGAATTAGAAACTGTAATTTGAAAAGTGTAAAGATTTAAACATTAACCCCTTAAGGACACATGACCGAAATATTCCGTCATAATTCCCTTTTATTCCAGAAGTTGTGTCCTTAAGGGGTTAAAACACAGAAAGTACTTCTGATTAACGATATACAGTCTGTACAATAAATGGAATAACCTTGAAGAAAACGAATCTATTAGAATTCAGTTCATTATTTCTCGTGAATTTACATTTAAGGAAAAAAGTAAGTCATTTGTTTTCCATTTTTTTGGAGTGTTTGATTCATTGCTGAGACTTAGAGGCTGTTTGCTCTTTGTTTAATCTTCTTCTACAGATGCAAATCTACATCGAAGACATCATTTTACCTTTCCATTGAAACTTGCCATTGTTACAAGTGATTGCAGCAATATAAATGAAACTGTCCTAGTTCTCTGCCCGTGTAGAGTCTGGAATCAGCCTAGCTGTGTTACAGCACTCGGCACCTATTCCGGGAATTAAATGAGCTTAACCCCTTAATGACACATGACGGAAATATTCCGTCATGATTCCCTTTTATTCCAGAAGTTGTGTCCTTAAGGGGTTAAAATGCACGCACCGTCATTAGATGGGAATAACAAGACCCATTATAACACTAGAGAAAATGTGATCTTTCGGGAAATTTTATTACATTGGGCTAATTAAATTCTTGATTTCATATGACTTTTTCTTCTTACAAAAGGTTTTTTTTTTTATGTAATACAATGTAAAATATTCAAGACTGTAGTTTTTTTTTTTTTATCTCTCACAATTAGATGCGGGCAATTGATTTGAAATTCCAATTTAGTTTCTTTGGTTTACAGTAAGACATACTAAGAGCTGAGTGGCCATAATATAATTGGTGTATTATAGATAAAAAAGGTATTCTTGTCAGGCATATTATAGCATTATGATTGCATAACGTTTGTACATGTCTTATTAATGTCTAGGAAGGAATATCTACAAGATTCACAATTGCATACAGACTCTTGTCTGCCAGTTACAGAGAAAATAAAGCACCTTATGAAAATATATAGTGATGTCCCAAACAGTTCGCCAAACGGTTCACCACGGACGGCGAACATATGCGGTAAACTTTGACCCTGTACCTCACAGTCAGCAGACACATTCCAGCCAATCAGCAGCAGACCCTCCCTCCCAGGCCCTCCCACCTCCTGGACAGCATCCATTGTGAAGCTGCATTCTTAGTGAGCTGTCCAGGAGGTGGGAGGGTCTGGGAGGGAGGGTCTGCTGCTGATTGGCTGGAATGTGTCTGCTGACTGTGAGGTACAGGGTCAAAGTTTACTCAATGAATGGTCCGTGGCGAACCGTTAGTGGCGAACCGTTCACGAACCGTTCGGCGAACCGTTTGGCGAACCGTTCGGGACATCACTAAAAATATATATAATATTATCTAAAACATCTTCTCGGCCTCGTCATCTGATTTAATGATTAACAATTAAAAGAAAGTCTAGTGAATAAAATATGAAACATAAAATAATTGTGAATAAACAAACTCAATTTTTTTTTACTATTTAAAAAACATGTATTATTAAAAGTAATAAACAATGCATTAAAAACAAAATTAAATAAATTAAAAGGCAAAATCTATTGCACTGTCCTTCAATAAAGTCCTGTCTCTGAGACATGCTAGGCCATTAGGCTTTTTAAGCTGGCATGCCTGTAGCCTACCCTGATTTTATTTTAATCCATGCGGTATTCCTCTTCTTATTTTCCATAATAATTTGTGTCCAATCGTCAACGAGTACTAGCCCTTGTTCTGGGCCTCCAGAAGTGGCGTATCGTACTTGCGCTACGTCACTTCTTGTGAGTAGCCAATCTTTTAAATCGCTGAATTTATGTTTAACGGGACACTCCAGGCACCCAGACCACTTCTGCCCATTGGAGTGGTCTGTGTGCCAACTCCCATTACCCTTAACCCTACAAGTGTAATTATTGCAGTTTTCATAAACTGCAATAATTACATTGCAGGGTTAACTCCTCCTCTAGTGGCTGTCTACTAGACAGCCACTAGAGGGAACTTCTGGGATTCTAGCACAGGTTTTCTGTGCTATAGCGTTGCTGGCCGTCCTCACGCTGTGTGAGGACCTCCAGTGTCGCTATAATCCCCATAGGAAAGCAGTGAAATCAGGCGTGATCGGTCTCCCCTGCCGGATGACGTGGTGACGGGGAGGAGCATGGGCGGACCAAGAAGCAGCGGCGAGGGACATCGGCGCTGCCTCAGGTAAGTCACTGAAGGGGTTTTGACCCCTTCAGCAACCGGGAATGGGAGGTGGGAGGGAGAGGACACCTGCAGTGCCAGGAAAACGATTTGTCTTCCTGGCACTGGAGAGTCCCTTTAAGGAGATCTTCAGGCGCTAGCATTGTTCTAAAAGCAAGCAGTTTTATTGGATCAAAATTGTAATAAAGCAACTTTTCAACCTAATATAAGGTCTTTCTCAATCTTTACAAAGACCTTGTATTAGATTGACACATTGTACCTGAAGACCTCCTTGTTTGTGATTACATTATTCTGGATTTGCTGGTCCTGGTTCAGTTACCCACCCAGTGGTCATCTGGAATAGAGTGCAGCCCCATTTGTTGCTTATGGGAACATAGTTATATAGCTGAAAAGAGACTTGCGTCCATCAAGTACAGCTTTCCTCACATCTGTTTTTTGCTGTTGATCCAAAAGAAGGCAAAAAAACCCAGTTTGAAGCACAATTTTGCAACATGCTAGGAAAAAGATTCCTTCTTGACCCCAGAATGGCAGCCAGATTTATCCTTGGATCAAGCAGTTATTACCCTACATTGAAAGATTATATCCTTGAATATTCTGTTCTTGCAAGTATGCATCTAGTAGCTGTTTGAACATCTGTATGGACTCTGATAAAACCACTTCTTCAGGCAGAGAATTCCACATCCTGATTGTTCTTACAGTAAAAAAACCTTTCCTTTGCCTTAGACAAAATCTTCTTTCTTCCAGTCTAAACGCATGACCTCGTGTCCTATGTAAAGTCCAGTTTGTGAATAGATTTCCACACAATGGTTTGTATTATCCCCGAATAAATTTGTATAATGTTATCATACCCCTCTCAGGTGACGTTTTTCTAAACTAAATAGGTTTAAATTTGTTAACCTTTCTTCATAGCTGATATGTTCAATTCCTTTTATTAATTTTGTAGCCCACCTCTGCACTTTTTCTAGTGCCATAATATCCTTCTTTAGAACAGGTGCCCAAAATTGCACAGCATATTCAACATGTGGTCTTACCAGGGATTTATAAAGAGGCAAAATGATATTCTCGTCCAGAGAATGAATGCCCTTTTTCATGCATGACAATACCTTACTGGCCTTGACCACTGCTGATTGACATTGCACATTGTTGCATAGTTTGTTGTCTATAACAATTCCCAAGTCCTTTTCCTGTGTTGTTATCCCTAATTCAATTCCATTAAGGGTATACGTTGCTTGTGTATTCTTCACGCCTAAGTGCATAACTTTGCATTTTTTCAACATTAAATTTCATCTGCCATTTGAGTGCCTAGTCCCCCAGTCTATCTAAATCCCTCTGCAGCAAAGTAATATCTTGCTCACATTGAATTATTTTACAGAGTTTTGTTTCATCTGCAAACACTGAAACATGACTTTCAATGCTGTCTTCAAGATCATTTATAAACATGTTAAATAGAAGGGGTCCCAGAACAGACCCCTGAGGGACATCACTTGCCACCTCTGTCCAGCTTGAAAATTTACCTTTAATAACAACTCTTTGTACTCTGTTTTTAAGCCAATGTTCTAACCAAGAACAAGCATTTTCATCTAGACCGATTTCCTTAAGTTTAAACACTAATCTATTGTGTGGAACTGTATCAAATGCCTTGGCAAAATCCAAATAGATCACATCCACTGTAACACCCTGATCTATACTTCTACTTACTTCTTCGTAGACCGCAATCAAGTTAGTTTGACATGACCTGTGCTTCATAAAACCTGCTGATTTTTGCTGATAACCATGTTCTTCTCAAGCAATTCTTGAATATTTTCCTTAATAACCTTTTCAGATATTTTCCCAGCCACAGAAGTTAAGCTCACAGGTCTATAATTTCCAGGCAAGGATTTTGAACCCTTTTTGAATATAGGAACCACATCTGCCCTTCTCCAATCCTCCGGAACACTTCCTGAAAGAAAAGAATCTTGAAAGATTAAAAACAGAGGTTCACTTATTTCTACACTTAATTCCTTCAGTACTCGTGGATGGATACCGTCAGGCCCTGGAGCTTTGTTTATATTAAGTTTCTTTAGTTGCTGCAGCACCTTGTCTTGAGTTAACCAATTACAATTATTCTGCAAGTTTTTAGTAGCAATCATTTGCACATCTATTGCCATGGGTTCTTCCTTAATATATACGGAGGAGAAATAGTTATTTAAAATTCCTGCATTTTCCTGGTCTTCATTAACTAACACCCCTGTTTCAGTTTTTAGTGTACCTACACTTTCATTTTGTTTTTTTTTAGAATTTATGTACTTAAAAAATGCTTTGGGGTTGGTTTTGCTCTCTTCAGCTATCATTATTTCATTTTGAAGTTTAGCAAGTCTAATTGCCTTTTTGCACGCATTATTTGCATCCTTATATCTTTTATAAGATGCATCTGATTTGTCCGATTTAAATGCTTTAAATGCCCTTTTCTTAGTTGTAATCTCTTGTTTTACTTCTCTACTAAGCCACATTGGTTTTAATTTGTTTCTTTTATATTTATTTCCCAATGGTACATACTGAGAAATGTACCTTTGTAATATTTGTTGGAAGATGATCCATTTATCCTCAGTGTTCTTTTCACTAAAGAGTTTATGCCAGTCAATATATTGTAAAGCTTCCCTTAACTTATTGAAATTAGCCTTTTTAAAATTATATGTTTTAGTATTCCCCATGTGCTTTTGTTTTTTTGAGTTTATTTCAAAGGACACTATATTGTGATCACTATTTCCCAAGTGCTCACCTACTTGAATGTTGGTCAAAAGATCAATGTTGTTTGTTAAAACCAGGTCCAGACAAGCGTCCTTTCTAGTTGGTGCTTGTACAAGTTGTGACACGAAGGTGTCATTTAACAAGTTTAAAAACCTAATTCCCTTTGCATATGTATTTATGTTTAAGTATGTTGTCATGGAGACATATTCTCACAATTTAACTCATCATAATTCCATTAGTATGGAGACAAATTCTCCTGGTTTGAAATATATGCAAAAAGTGATTTTAAAAAAATATTTTTTAGATTGTTACCTCTATTTTTGCATATTTTAAGCACTGTGTGGGTTACAGGAGGCACAAGTGTGTTAGCTGCTAGATTTCATTATATTTAACAGTGCATTTACATCACTTTTTAGCATTTTATTACACAGTAGAATTTTGTATTTACACATTCACATTGAATAAAGTCCGGTGAATGTCTACCTTAATTTTTTTCAATTTAATCTTAATTAGTGTTGCAGGAATCACAAACAAAAATTTGTTGAAAAACAGTGTTTTCCAAAATTTTGAAGAAAAATACTTAATTTATTTTGATACATTGCTACAAAACCAATGTTAGCTGCTGTCAATGAAAACAGAAGGAATTGGGGTTTAGCATTTTTTAAGGGGTGCCCTCGAAGGCACGGTAGGAATACTAATTAGTTTCCCCATATATCTTTACAATTTGTTTCACACATTTACTCCTCCTTCATTTCTGAACTTCTTGGCAGATTTAATTAGGACAGTGTGGCGAAACCGACCTCGCCACTGGGTATTGGAGAAGACTGATTGTCAGCCTCTTGCCCTGTGACTATGGCCCTGGGATGTATTGCCCTTTAAAGACATGATTTGGGCATAATGGATTTGTGTTGTGCTGCTGCTGGCCCTTTTAAGAACCATCTGGGGACATACTGTGGAGTTACTGGGTGGCCACCATTTCATGTATCAGAAGCACATGGTGAGAACAATGGATGGCGGCCATTCTAACTCACAGACACTGTGTGGACTTTTCAACACGGTGCCATCTCGCCAGTATTTGGTGCACAGAGACATCTTGCAGTAGTTTTAAACTATACAACAGGGGACACATTATACAGTAATTATTTTTCATATAGCTTTTATATGTTCTGCGGAATCTGCATTAAACTGTATCTTCCAAACTAATGAACGGATCTGGGTGAATTTTGGATATGTGGTTCACCCACATCCCCCGGTTCCGAGGATATATTTTATATATATACTTTTTATGGGGTTATTGCATGTTTTGG